CAGGGCTCCAGAGCCTCCAGCGTAAGTGGGAGGCTGAAAGAGCAGCCCAACTATACAGACCGTACAGTCCAAACCACTCACGCAATGAGATAAATTAATCTAACAAGTAATGTTCACTTGCTTGTCATTTCATCAGCTTGGCTGCCAGTTGCTATACTGCTGGGTTCTGGTCTACAGACACTGATCGACACTGACCTGGTAAAACACAGCATGGAAAGGCCTTGAGGAGATGCAGCAGCAGCTTGACCCAGAGCTCACTAGGAGACAACTTGTTTACTTTGTTACTAACCAAGATGGCAAGGAAGGAGGAGTTTAGAGCAAAGCAGTGATTTTCTTCATGCCGTTTCTGTAATGTGGCACAAGCCCTAATCAAGGCAAAATATTTGAGTGCCCCCAGTTTTTGTCTTCCTGGAAAGGTGAGTGACGGCCTTACGGAACCCACAGGCAGCCTCAAGGGAAGCAGTGCTGCAGTCCATACTTTGGCAGCTTCACTGGGGATTTTGCTTTTTTTTTTTTCCAAATTGCTCAGGGAACTCAAAGGCCTCACACCATCTCCTTCTTCATGGCAGGTTTATCACACGTATTGACGTGACGGACTGGGCTAAAACCAGCTGAAACTAGAAATGTTCCTTAAACTCTGTTGTTCATATCACAATAACAAATGTGCTAACGAGATGCAGAGGTTGGTATCATCCAAAATTCAGCAACTGTGGTATTTGCCATGAAGCCGACTTCACAGGTTTAAGCTGCTGTTGCTAGAAAACATTTCCTAGGCTGGGAAAAGAAATTCAGAACAAATAAGAGGTTGTTCTTCTGCATGTAGCCCTGGCTAAAACTACCCATTAATTGCCACTCTCTGTGATACACCTCGGCTAGTTCTTCTGTCCCAAGGGAAGCCCATGGGTGGTGGAGCATCACCAGGAGCATAGCCTCCTCCTCCTCTTCTTCTTCCCATCACTGCACCCTTCCTTTCACTCACTCACATTTCACTTTTACAATAAAGCTTGCACGGAGGTTACTGCTCAGGAAAACCACATCTTTCACGGACAACTCTAGCTTGAGAACCTAAAGAAATGAGTGGGCTCAATCTAATGAAAGTAAAGGTTCTGCTTGTGTAAGTGACGCTTCTTTTTACAAAAAAAAAAAAAAAAAAAAAAAAAATCACAAACAAAACATAGCTTCTGGAATTATAGGACTCTATGGGGAAAGGAAGAGGGAAGAAGAGAGATGCAAACCCCTTGAGCTGCATAGCACAGCTTGCTTCCTAATAGCATTCCGTTGCCTCAGAAAAAAAGAGGTAAATTTAAGGGACTCATAGCCAAGAAGGTTTTTTTTTGCAGAGTTTGAAATCTCATTTTTATGCTTATCTCATGCAAAGCTGAAAGGAAATACCACTGGCCACAACTTCAACCTGCTAAGAAGAAAAATCTGTTGGACAACAGCCAGCACAACTGAAGGGAAGTTTGCTACACTAAAGGACTCGACCAGAATGCATCCTTCCACAAAGCAAATACGTGTGCATCCACAATGGGGCAAATCCCTGCAATCTCCACGAAGGCTTGCACAGTGATGTGCTACTGATCTTCGTCAGCCCACTGCTGTCCCTCAGCTAGAGATGATCATTTCTGTAGGGCAGCCTCCAAAACGGCCGGTGTGAGCTTTCCCTAATCTGCCCCAGGACAAACTCCATCACTTGCTGAAAGCGACAGGCAAAGCTGGACAGACAGACAGCAGGCTGCTGTTTTCCCCTAGGGATGCGCTCTACATCTCTACGTATGCTATCACTGTTTTGGTTTCCCCTTCTGATACCAAATCAAACCATCAAAAGGAATAAGGAATAGTTTCCTAAAACTGGGACTTAAGAGCTGTGCATGGCCCTGTCTCTGGGCGGTCTGTATGGAATAAAACCCCTGAGGCCTCCATACTTTACAGAATCAGGACCCAGATCCTGCTCTGAGTCCATTTGAAGGTGGTGAAAGGGCTGCTAGGATGGAGCTGTAGCTCTAAAATAGAAGTGCTATACTGAAGGTGCCATTTTGCAACCTTGTAGCTCTTCATTACAGCCCCTAGCCTGCTCCTTGCTGGTTGTCAGCACGCTCAGGGGAAATCTTTCCAAACTACAGTACATTTCAATAAACGGGTCAGGTTAGCAAAGCTTTACGACCGCAGCTGAAGCAGCGAGGAATCCAAATACCAACAACCAAGCAGGCAGAGCAGAGGAGGAGGTGACTTCCAGCAGGTGACGATGAGCAGGTGCGAAGAAGAAACTCCATCAGATGGAAGAGAAACACAAGCAGAGCCTTTCACTCCTTGGAGCAATTCTCCCAAGGGGCTGCAGCAGCCCCGAGCCTCATGTTTGCACTTTATTTATAGCACTGACTTCACGTTCTTAACCTTCCCAACCGCAAACTGCAATTTTTCTCCCCACAGCATTATGGTGATGGTTTGGAACTTCGAGATGTTTGGGAAGGGACAATTTGGCATCGGGAGACTAAAAAGCAGATACAGATGACATCCTAAATGTATCTTTTATGAGTTTTGAATGCTTCCTTTAAATTAAGCTCAGAATGTGTGACAGCTTCTGGTAATGCCGCCAGTAAGGAAAAAAAACATAAAAATCAAGAGGTTTTTGAGCACACACAGTCTTAAAGATCACATCTTTGAGTACCTTGCTTTCCCTCACACCACCTCAAGCTGTGATGCACCAAGTGCTTCCCAAGGACAGTGCTCCAATGATTTCCGCTGTCTTTTCACCGCAGATGCCCTCGAACATCAACACACTTCCAAATTCAAGGCTTATAAAAAATTAAATGCTCCAATAATTCTAAATTGGGTCTGTTCAGTACTACTGGAGCCTGTCCATTCCTTCCATTTGCTTTTTTTTTTTTTTTTCTTTGTTTTGCTGGTGGGGGGAAGAAAGGACAAAATACTTTAAATTAGTACTTCAAATTGGAAGCTGGTCAAACAGCATCATAGCAGAGTGACTCAGCAGCCTCTGAGCTGATTCGCAGCGTATCATAAAACAGGATTAGGAAAACAACAATGCCTGGAGGAGAAAGAACACACACAGATTCATGGCAAGAGAACAATACCAAAAAGGAGTGGAGGGAATAATCCCGACTTGGCTTCCGAGGAGCAGGTTGGATGACCTAATAGATGGCTTTCAATGCCCTTCATTCCCCACTTAGTCGTAGGGCTCAGCCACCCGGTTCCAGCTACCACAGCTTAATAAATGGCTCTGCATCAACTGAAGCACATTAAGCACTTCTGTGTGCACACCCACAGCCTGTTGTCATTTGTCTGAGACCACGGTCCCCCTCTGGCACAAGACCCAGATGCTATTTCAGAGCAGGCAGGAGCTTATGCAGAACTAGTGGTGCACCCTCATGGCCATTTAGGACAAGAAGGAAAGGAAACAATCCAAGACTGCATATTCCAGTTACAAACCAAAAAGTGACGCTGTCTCAGTCTTATTCAACAATACACACGTGGCAGCAAATTAAAGCACCAGTGATGTCAAGCTAAGCATACTCCTTAGCACAGTCCCGTTCAGGGTGGAAACCAAGCAAGTATTTCATGATATGTTCAATGCCAAGTTGGAAGAGGAAAGCATCATTAAAAATCTATTCTCTGGGAACCTGAAGACCCTATTGACAGCCTTTTTGTAAATTAGGCCACACTTGTCACAGCTGCAGCCTTGGGGTGACAGAGGAAGGCAGGGACTGTCCAAGGAGTTTTACTAGATTGGCAATGGTTGAAACAGTTTGAATGCAGAACAAGAAAATTCACAGCTCCATGCAAGCAAGAAAAAAAATCAGATAATTCTCACAATTCTGCTAAAATACCTACATACCTACATGGGTAGAGAGACAGAAATCAGGTAGGAAAAGAAAAATCTCATATGCCACAGTATCCTTTTGTAGATTGAAAAAAGATGGTAAAGTGCTTCCTTGTTTAAGTCACTGTAGGATGCCTGGAATTTTATAGAAACTGCTGCAGTGTGTCTCCCAGTGGAGAATAACTGAAGCATGAGATAAGAAAACCCTAAACTTGCAGCGGCAGGAACTGTTAAAGGAAATGTCCAATATAGACTTTATATACAGAAAGACTACAAGTAACAGCTTGGATTCCTAAAGTACAAAAATGTAAACCAATTCTCTAATCATGTCTAATCAAAGAATGCTATCAGTTGCTGCAGACTTCTAAGAAATACCGTATATCAGAGAGATGGTAGAATGCATATCTTGTTCAGTGGTGCTTTGGGAATAGTTTAGCCTGCAGCATTTAATTCCCTGTTATTACTTCTGGGCCTGGAGGTGAAAGTCATAAATCAGGACCAAACATAATTTGCAGTAATGGGGTGAAATACTCATAAAGAGAGTTACACGATGTAATTTTGGGGGATTGTAACTCTTCCAGTCTTTGATGACTGCAGTAAAAAATAGCAAAAACAACAACAAAAAAAATCTTCCATCTGTAGCATCTATTCTTTGCTGATCCCACATGGGATTTTTCATCCCTTTTCTCCAAGCATCTCTACCTTTTGCTGGCATGCCCTCCACCCTTCCTCTCTGCTGCCCTAAATATATACTTAAAAGAAAATCATAGGAAAGCATTCCTTGCTTAGAAAGAAGGACAGGTTCTAAATTCCATTGACTTCACTTATATGGGAATTCAATACCACAGAACTTTTCCCAGGGAATTTTGTTCAGATTTCAGGACCCTCTACTGTTTTTTAGAGGGCTACTTTGTCCCATTTAGATGGCAGCTACATTCTGAGTAATAAAGACCACAGTACTATAAAATAACATCATCTCCATTCTTCCCTACCATCTACTGAGTTAAAAATTATTTTTAAAAAATTTTAAAAAAAGAGAGAAAGAAAGAGAGAGAAATAGATAGAAAAAGAAAAAGAGTGAGAAAGAGAGAGAAAGAGAGGAAGAGAGGAAAACAAAGAAAGAAGGGAAAGAAAGAAAGATAGAAAGAAAAAAAGATCCCAACCCATAATGTGTTAGAGCTTTGTTTTCTGAGCAACAAGACTAATCATGTTTCCTCTATTTGGGGTCTCTCTCTTCTCTTCCTTTTCTTCTAGGTCCTCTGGATCCACACTGACATAGAAATATCCCATGATGGAGAAAATAATGCACACAGCAAAGAGCAGAACAGTGAACAAGACAAATTCAGCCCACTAGGAAAGAGAAAAAGAAATAAAACAGCAAGTCAGGGAACACCAGTCTCCCAGTCCAGAGGATTTCTCTGCACGTCCAAGTGCTTTTCAAAGTGCTGGGTGAAAGCTTTCCAGCACCTAAGGTTTCTCACCGTTTTCTGGTAAATCATGTATATGTAATGTAGTTATGTAAATATGAACATGTGTGATATACCTCAACACAAGTCAGTTACCCATGGGCTAGTTTCACTAAACCTCTTCTTACAAATCTGCCCTGGCTGGCACATACCTGCCTGGGCTTTTTGCCCACAAGATGCCTTTGAGACAGGCAGTTTGCTGTGAGCCAGAAACAAGCCCCAGTTCACACCTTCATGTCATTATCCCAGAAGCTTTGCAGCTTGGAAGAAACAACTTCTGCACCACAGCCTCCCCATGCAGAGCCCAGTATCGCAGGGATACAACAGGCAGCTGGCCCTCACAGAATCAGGCAAGCTGCTTTTGGTATGCAGCAGCAACACATGGCTGACATTGTGTCCAAGCTCCAGGTCCAAATGAAGTCTGCTTGCCTAAAGCTGAGTTCCAGCACTATTAGCACAGCACAGCAGTATTACTGTTGTTGAAAGGCCCAGGAAAGACCATTGATCCAGAGGGCAATGCTGAGGGCTATGCAGAACCCTGGCTGGGAGACAGCTGGGGCACGTTGGAGCCTGGGGCTGGGTAGAGAAACTCTGCCTCCAGGGCACAGGCATCCAGAAACACCATCCAGGGCCTGTTCTAAAGCATTAGCTTTGTTTTACAAGCAGAACCATACCTGCGCCATAGGTGCAGCCTGGGCAACAACAAGCACAAGGGTATTCCCAACAGCCACTGTGAGCAGCCAGCCTGCTTGCAGCACTGACTTCATGCTGGCTGGAGACTGAAAAGAGAAGAAGAGTCTGGTCAGTGGCTGTCATGCTGTGCCCACATCCCTCTACCTAGCCTAGGAGAAAACGGTGGAATTTTTTATGTGTCTCCTTCACAATTAAGTCCTACAGCTGCATACAAAGAGGTTTCAAAACAAGTCATTCTAGAGGACACATGGAGAAGGAAGTAATGGTTGCTGTTGCAGATCTGGATTCTGATCACCCCCAACCCAGATCATCTACTGTAAGATCAGGAAGACTGGAGACCCACGCAAAAAGCTCTGAAGCTTGAAGCCTGGTGCCATGCGTCTGCACATCTTTGGAAAATACTGGATCTTGATGTTAAGCTTCCTGCCAACCTCAAATCATCCATATCTCACAACAGATTGTCCCATGGATTAATGCCTCACATTAATAAATATACGCAGTTTACTCTAAAGATAGATTTGAGTAGCTTCAGCTTTTTGATCTTGCAATATATCTCAGTCCTCTCCACTCACAAACCTTCACCCCAGACAACCTAGTGTACCACAATCAGATTCTCATAAACCCTTAGACCCCCTTCAGTCTCTCAGTTTAAAGCAGGTTCCAAGCCTCATGCAACCTTGGCAGACGTGGGAATAAATCCTGAAGTCTAATTAAGCCCCTTATCTTCAAGTGGAGTACCTGAGAATAGGAGAAGGCCAGACCCGTAATGGAGAACATCACTTCTCCAGCAGATATTAATAAGTATTGCGGTAATTGCCAAGCCATATGGACGTTGTTGGCTTTGATGTCTTCTGACTTCCATGTCTGAACCGCACCTGCAGACACCTAGCAGGAAAATAAAGGAACATCAATTCGCTGCTGAAAGATCAGATCCTTCCTAGACTGGACTACAGAGAATTAAGATGAAGCTTAAAGCAAAGACAGAAGCAAAGCTCTGACCTGGAAGTGAAACTGTGGGTCTGATCTCTGCCACATCCAAGCCTGTTGGGAGTAGGCTGACTCCTACTGCACAACATGAAAATATCCCAGCTACCTCCTGTGCCACAAGATCTTCAAGATTTATTGCAAAATGGCAAGCTGCCTTCTTTACTGGTGTTAGGAAAAGTCTGTGTAGTACTTTTATGGAGCCTGTTACCTGCTGATGACACCAGAGCCGGAATGGGCAAGAGGATAAATGCTCACTCCCTCCACATGACCACTATTTGCATTCCGTCAGCACTGTATAACTCCCCAACTATAGCATCAACACCCAAACATAACCAGTTCAGGAATTCTAAGAGTAGCAAAAACTTCCCCACATCAGGTATATTGAGACAGTTACAGTGTCTGTATTCCTAATTCCTTTTGTTTGCTTTTCTAGGTGTAATTAATACTGCCTCTGATGTGCAGAGAAGCAGAGAGAGATTTGAGTAGCAGCCAGGCAATCATTAGGCTAAAATGCCTTCAGGCAGGAAACCTAGTGTTTAAGGAGAGTACATGGGAAAATACAAGGGATGTTTATGAGATGTACTTAATCACCATGCAGGGAGGCAAATCAAGAGAGTGTAATTTAGAAGGCTAAAAGGGGTGAGAGGAGAGCTGCGCACTGTTCTTTTGCCCAAAGGAAATGTCACAAGTACTATACTACAACTGCACACTGAAGAAGGCTGGGAAGGCACTATTTCCATGATTTAAGTATTACAGTTCAGCTATATTAGCAGCCTAATATATTGCTTTCTTGGTTCTTCTATACTTCACTCTCAGCTGAGTAGGAGAGCATGGTACAAATCATTGCAGTAATTAAAAATTATCTTGGCCTGGAGCAAACTAACTCTCTACAGAAGGATGAAAGCACAGGACAAGAGATGGAAAAACAGAGGGTCAGAAAGATTAAAGGACCGCACAGCGCCATAGGGTCTGAGGCACAGAGCCACCCCTAAGCATCCATGGAGGCAGCAGGGGCTTTGAGATGAGACCACAAAGTGGGGTCCTTGCCCACACCCATTTGGAATGCATCTACCTCTCCTACTACACTCAGCTGTATTACTCGAAGCTTGGTGATAATATTCTTAGTCTCATATTCTCTATGCAACTACTCTACTCAGCTTCTCATCCAGGGAAAGAGGTGTGCAGCCATAGAAGTAAGGACTGGCCAACATCGCTTCAAGTGTGCATGTGTTTTGTGTACATAAATCTCTACACTCAAAGATGGCAGCATCTGCCTGTTCTCTCCAGGACTGTACATCCTATTCCAGCTACAGGAGGAAAAATGTAAAAAAAAAAAACCAACAAACAAACAAAAAACCAAACAGGTGTTAGGCAGCTATGCTTTTCCCCTCTACGTATTTGGATTCCACAGACACGAACAGCTCCCATTAGTTGCCCAACAGGGAGATGTTCCTGCCAGGGAATAGCTGACAGCACTTTGCTCTGTTCATCACCACACAGTAGTCAAAGCCCCAAAGGGCAGCTCAGCAGCGTGTCCTGTCAGACCTGGTTTGTAAGCGTGCCTGTGCAGTGGGAAGGTTAAAATGGGCACTAAGACAGTTACATTGATCTCCGTGGCTCCTGCCAGCTGGACCAGTCAGAGCAGTGCCTCTAAGAAGCTGGCAGGCAGGCAAAGGATTCCACCCTCTTTGGTTCACACTTCTGGGTTGTTTGGAAAAGCATGCCTTGACTTCACACTAGTCTCCAAATGAGCTGTACAGTGAGAGTGAGAGGAGGAAAAGGAGATACATAACCTCATCCACCTCTCTCAACACTTTGCTCCTCTTCTTCCTGTGCAAAATCCACATGCCTTGAAAGATCAACTTTCAGATCAGTAAGTAAAACATGAGGGTGTAGCAGACTGTTTTTGCAGAGTTTCTCAAGTGTGAGATGTTACCAGGTACTGTAGTTTTAGAGGTCACAGGCAGCATTAGCTCTTGGCAGTGTGCTGGGTCAATGTTAACCAAACAAAGATGGTGTGATACCAGCATAAACTGCATGTCACTTGATTTTCTAAGGATTTCCATCAAGCAAAAGACATTGCTTCTTGTTTAACTGGTAAGACTTGACAAGATCACAGTGTAAGGTGGAATGACCACCCGCCCCCTTTGCTTTTATAGTTGCCAGAATCTTTTCCTGGATAGCCTTCAAATGGCTATTGCCTCAGTCTCACAAAGTGGAGAAAGCAAGAGAGTCACCAATGTACGAGGAAAAACACTGCCAGAGACTAGAGCAGAACGAGCTTGTTACCAACACAGGATCACTTACATTAGTTATCACAACAGTGTACGATGCACCAAAGTCAAGCAGCCCTAGGTCCAGGGTGAATTCCCCAGTTTCAGTTATGCATTTTCCATTATCATATCTAGATACAAGGATGAAGTACAGCATTTTCTGGTTAGTCTCAGACAAAGAGCACAGAGTAGAGCTATCAAAAATGCCCCTACAATGGACAAGAGAGGATGTATAATGTAAAGCTGCAGTCAGGTTTATGTCAGAGGATCCCTAGAGTTGTTGCCATCTCTTCCTTCCAGGAACACTTAGGCACTGACTAGAGTTCACCCAATGACCCAGGCTATTGCTAATGGTTTGAAATGCTGATTCTTCCAAGCAATCTCAAAAATTTCCAGCAAAAAGAGAACTTCTCTCTCTCTCTCTTTTTTTTTTCCCCAGCCTTATTTTTCTTCCAAAATTTTATTCACTCCTTCTAGGAACTGTGGGCCCCGCAAGTTAGCCAGGCTCAGAGAGTCTTCAGGATATCAGAGATACACTCCCACAAGCCATAGTGTTTCCTTTCAATAGAGCAAATTAGCCTTCTTATTTGTTCTTAAATTTTGGATTGCCACAGTGGTTGATGCATCCACCTAAACTGCAGCCATAAATACTTTGGATGGAGCTTCTGCAGAGAAAAGCCAGGAGGCTTTTGAAACATTGCAGAGGCCAAAAACGTCTTACATGAGCCAAGTCTTGTGCTGCCAAACCACGGCCATATGCACCCCCAGTCTATCAGCCCAGCCTACAAGGCCATGGGATGTTAGATGTTACCAGCCCACATACCAGCACTTTGTCATGTGGAATATGAATTGTTCCTTCTCTGAGAGCATCCTAACACTAAAAGCTTGGACCTGAGAGAATACCAAAATAGAGCAGGTGCCACATGGCAGAGAGACTTTTCCATCTTCGACTTCATTCTGCTGACAGATGCACAGATGGCCTCTCAATAACTTCTCATAATTCTTCACTCCAGCTCCACATACAGTGTAACTACTCAGAGAAAGTTAAGTTCTGTACATGGACTTCTTCAAAAAGATTTTGGATTCCTGATATTCTATTTACCTAGCTCTAAGAAAATTCCAATCATTACCTCAATTAGAACGTCATTACACTCATGTCAAAGGAATAATGCTTCCAAGCAATAATGTTTCCCTGATTATGTTATCTTACCAAACCAACAACTGCTACAGGAAGGGAGCTATTCCAGACACAGTTAAGAACTTGAATCTATTCAGCAACATATTATGCACAGAGAAACTGATCCCCTATCCTTCGGCTTGGATGCTTTGCAAAATAAATGCATGGTTCTTCTGTACACACACAAGTGGCCTAGAGTAACTGCTGCTCTGCACAGAGCTGATTATTCTGCTTTTTTTGTTTGCTTGTTTTTTTTACAAACATCTGCCACACAATCAAATGCCAAGAGCATTGCAATTAAGTTTCTTCTATTTGCATGAAAAAAAAAAAAAAAACAAACAAAAAAAACCCTATGGTGCTCAAGGAAGGGCTTCAGTGAGGACCTTCAGCACAGCAAGGGAAACTTACGTGTCCCTCTCTACCAGCGAGTACCCAGAAACACCACAGTTTCTCTGAACAGATATGAACTGTTTGCTGTCAATGGTGAGGTTGACATCTTGGCTCAAACCGTTAATGAATCTGCAAAGAAAGCATATTATTAGGCTGTCAGACAGGGCAGGAAAAGTAAAACATGAATCACTTAAAAGAAGTGCACTCTCTCCCAAAGCATTCTGTCTCTCCATAAGGTTATGACAGTTTCTCCTGCAAGCCACCAAAGTATCAGCCTGACTCAATGCCTAGGCTTTCAATATAAAACTATTTTTCCTACTGCTATGTAATTTTACTCTCTCTGTGCAAAGAGAGCTCTTATTTGTGTGTGTGAGAATGAACTTACCAGCAATCTCTTCTCAGACACATTCATAGATTCTTTTATATCTGTTCAAGAGGATAGAACCCCACCCCCAGGAAACTATAAAGGTGTGTGTCCTGATGAGCGCGTGCACTGTGCTGCCATACTTTCCAAGGAGTTTCTAATTGCAAGAAAGAGTTTTCTAGCAATATATTTTCACCATCAACAAACTTTCATGGGAAAACAGAGGTTTGGGCCTGTTAGCGAAACCAAAAACTTTTCATATGATCCATGATTTTAAGAATTTTGGTTTTCAGTTGTTAACATAGAAGGGAGTCCTAAAGACAGTAATATGCTCAACAAAAGTAACTTCAGTGGAAAAAAAGAACAGTCTCCTAGTTAAATCTCCTCAGAAATTTTTTAACGGAAATGTTTGAGATTCTGTCAAAAAATGCTGACAGAAAAATGAAAGAGTTTCTGACAGGAGGTATTAATCAAGTCTCCTAGGTGGTGTTCAGGTAGCAGAAAACTTCACAGGTGCAGGTCTATGAAGATACTGCTCTCATTTTATCTGATTAGTTTGCTTTTGTACAGGAAGTTGGACAAGATAAGTGATCATCATGGGTTGCAGAGGACAAATGGCAACAGCTCCTTTCCAGATTGCATCTTCCCCTTCTTTCCCAAAATGGCAGGCCATGGTGAGATCACCCTTCCAAAGGAGGAGATCTTTTAAGCTGCCATCTCAGCCCAGACAATCCTAGGCAGTAGATGGCAATGCAGTTCAGTTCTGCACAGCAAGACTGGGAGGTCAGTGTCTGCAGCTGACACCTGAATCGTTTCTTGCAGGAAGAGCATAGGCTAGATTCTAACCCAAGAACATCTGGGCTACGTTACTTACAGTTTGAATTAGACAAAAGCAGTTTCTCTCAGCCCACCACCCTTGATTCCTAAAAAAAAAAAAAAAAAAAAAAAAAAAAAAGAAAAAGAGCCATTCATACCTAACTGCTGCCAAACCATTTTCTGGCTTTGTTTTCAAGTCTGTAATCTAAAGTAGAAGGAAAAAAAACGAAGAAAATCACATATATGAATTAATACTGCCTTATAAACAAGATGTAACAGAAAATACTAGTGCCAGTGGAATGACATGTTGCAAAGCCAATGGGACTGACTGTATCTCACTAAAGCTTTGCATCACGCTACAGAAGTGAAGTCCCAGTACGATGAAACCAATGGCAAAATTCCAAAGGTTTAACATGAGATCATACATTTTTTCTAATACAGGCTACAGAATTTCAACGAATTATCCTTCTACTAAGGCTTGCAACACTCTCTAACAAAATGATTTGTCTTGATCTGGAAATAGCAAGAGAGCACTATCCACATTAGCCTCTTCCAATGATTAGTTACAATTAAACTTGAGCACCACGCTCCTATGAAAACCAGCAAATAGCTGAACTTCCAGAGCTGGATTCTTGGTTTACTCATCATCTCCACAGAGCCTAAAGCCAATAGGGAATGTTAGGTTGCAATTCTGATCAACATCTACAGCTTATAATTTTCCTGACACTTAGAGAGAAAAATATCACACAGTGCAGGCAGAGAGCAGGAGACACCAGGATGCACAGTCTTTGCAGGCTCATCCTTGAAATTGCAGCGTGGTTGGGTACGCTGGGGACTGACAGATCTCCTTAAGATCACAGCTGGGGCATCAATTGGAAAGTTAAGCTATACCTGCTTGAGAAGGGTTTACTTGGTGCACAATGCTGAGAATAAAGACAATAGCTACGCAGCCCCTGCCCTGAAGGTTGTATTTCACACAAAAAGAATACAGTCAGTTTCATAGCTGGTTGAAATCCATGGTTGTACCCACACAGCCCTTTCTCCGTGCTTTCTTTGCGATGTAAAACCCTGATCTTCTAAGACTAAGGATCCAGAACTACAGCATCCCTATGAAAAGGCCACTGCATTTCAGTGCAATATGCTGATCCACAAATAATATATGCCCTAAGTAACAAATAGCCACAGTGAATAACAAATTTCAGAGCAATAAATAATAAACAACACTGTTTCTTTCAGTGGGAGGCTCATGGGGATTAACACACTAGCTCGCTGCAGGCAGGACTGACAAATTATTATTCGCGTTCAGCAAAGATCCCCAGAGCTCTCAAATTCATTTCCTGCCCACTCAACCACCCACAAAGGAGAAGAAACCAATTTCAGACTGGCTTCTTCCAGGAAAACATGAGCAAAAGGCCAAACCCACCTTGGGGTTGAGGGAGGCTGGGACTACTCCAGGATAAGCCCTGCAACACAACAGTGATGCCACTGCCATCCTCATCTTGCAGTGGTGCAAAGTGTCATTTACTAAACTGCTTTCCACACCTCTCCTGTCGTCAGCTGACAATGACAGCTCAACAGCATCAGCCAACAACACAGAGCAGAAATCTGCCCGTGCTGAGGGTAGGAATTAATTCAAACACAGGTTAGATAGCTGGGGCAGCACAGAGAGCTACAGAAGCTCAGAGATTACTTTGCTTCAATCTGTCTCAGGCTTTCTTTCCATGGAGACAGTATGAAAATCACTGTATGAATATCAATTTCTAAGGGAAACGGCACACCATCATCAGGGTTTCAGGGAAACCTAAGAACATTGTGTGAAAATGAGCCCCAAGTTCCAAAACATGAAAAAAACAAACAAACAAAAAAAAAAAAAAAAAAAAAAAACTGCCTCAGGGAAAAAATTAATTCTTAAAACTCCTCATTTTTAAAACCAGCTACATAATTTCTACTATACAATATTGAATGCTTATGCACTGACAACACTGCAAGGTAGGAGGCTGAGAAATTGCAAAGAAAATAGTCACTTTAGCATAAGGACAGATTCTAATGCCATTCACACATACATACACAACTACCTCAATGCAGAATTACACCATTCATTTTAAAAGTGTTTCTTGGGATACAGCTGCACATAAAAGATATCAGAATCTAGCCCTATATACCCCACGTATGTCTCTATAATTATTGCAGCAATACACAAAAGTCCAAACACAGCTCTGCTGCAGAGCTGGAAATGAACTTAATCATTTATTCTGTTCAGCAAAACAAATGGGTCTTCTGTGCACTTTCACTAAACGCTTGTAATAACTGCACCACAAATCATTCCTCTGATGCTTTTACTCCATGCCCAGCCCTAGAGCCTCTTTAACATCTTTGCTTTATAGAACCATCTTTTGGGGAAAATCTCAGGCTCTTTGCTTCCTCAGCTTTTGCAAGCTCTGCTGCCCAGCAGGCATGCTGCTGCTGTCCCACTACAGCATTCACTGGATTAAAGTGTTCCCAGCATCTCTCAGATGCCATAATGCCTCTATTAATCAACCAGCAGAAATGCGTACAGACTCAGTGCTGCTAGCTAAGAAGCCAGGCTTGGAGCATCTGAGAGTAATCAGACAGACATCACAACGGAGCAAATGAATTAATAAGCCTATTACCCCATTACCCATTGTATCATCGCAACCATTAAATTAATACTGTATTTACACTTCGCTCCCACACTCACTAAGTGACTTGATAGGCTTCCTTCCGCCTCAAAAACAATTAAACTGTACACTGATTTTTCCTTCACGGTGTAGTTAAAAGCAAGAGACGATCCTTGATGTTGCAGGATGAAGTGAAGGCTCTGTTGCTCTCCATTCAATATTAAACTTGAGTACTCATCTGGGTTCTGTGAATAAAACAAACTTAGTTATTTGCTTTTTTTCACGCGATAAAGGATCTTGCTCTTCCCACCAAGAGCAACCCTACCATCTCTTCATGGAATTCTGTAAAAGGTGGTTAACAGTCAAAGCTGGTGAAAAGCTTTCCTTCTGCATCAAAAGACCTACATCAACCTATAGGCTTCAGGCTGGTCAAGTCAGAGCTTGGAGTAGTTTCTTCTGCAAGATGTAACTCAAACACCAAAGAACCTTCTGCACATGTAGCTACCCTTTCCCTGGCCCCAATCTGCCTCAACGGGACTCCATCTAGAATGTGGCAGGCAGCTGGTGGCCAATGGACTGCCATTCTGGTTCCCAAACTAGGCTGACCTGAAGTCATCTGGAAGCTGAACTGGGAAACAAATTGCAGTGCCCATACCCAGCTTTGTGCCTTCCCATTTTTCTTCTCCTTTGCAGGTAAATACTTTTCATATGCCGTTCAGAGCCCAACAGCAATGTTTAGTTAGTATTTTAGCACTGAGAGATGCCAGCTGAATGCCTCATACTGAGACATTTATCCTTTATTCCTAATTCTAGGGCAATATCATTAGACATTCCTCCCTTTGTCAAGCAAGTACTTCTCCAAACATTCCACTTCTATCTGGTAGGAGATGGTGTGCTCCATCTCTAAAGTCATTCCCATGCACTTCTAAGAGGCTGGAGAACAAGTCATAGCATCTGTGATCTTTATTGGAAAATGCCAGAAAAAAGCCCACCCTTTTTCAATGGGATGCAGGTCAAGCCTTCCATCCCCACACATGTACTTACCTGGAAAGCCTCCACTGGCTGCTGAAATAGGTTCTGGTCTTGGATTGTCACTTGAACTGGGTTCTTTGCCAAATTCAGGACCTGAATTAAACTTTCTTTTGGGACGAGTTGAGGCATATCGGTTTCCTAATTAAAATAAAAGGCTTTAAGTGCCATCCATATGCTTTATTAGCACTTTAATAACTTCATTTTCAGTTATAATAGTCTTCCTCTCTGTAATGACACTTTTCCATCCTTTCCTCATCAGAAGTTGCGCTGAGTGAAAACTGAACATAAATCTTACGTGCGGGGGAATCTAATAGTTCAATAGCCAACCTACCAACCTTCCCAAAGACTGCCCCTTACATCACCGAATGTACAGGCTGCACAGCTGCTGAGCAGGTAGAACAACATCCCTGCTTTCACTGTGCAGCTCACAAGTGCCATATCATAAAGGAAAGAATTCTGTGACCAGAATAATTATTTTCCCAGACTGCTCAGCCAGAAGCTAAGTTTTGAAGATCCCAGTCCAGCTCCATGACTGTAAATGGTGCTTTTGCATCACTTGACACCATGCTTCATGCCAAGCACAGATCTCACTTCCTGTTTTCTAAGAAAGGAAAAACAATGCCTGCAGTATAGAGGAACCTCATTCTGTCAGGAATCATTTCCTAGAAAAAGAACTTCAATCAATATCAGCCTTCTGCTATCTGCAATCTAAAGCCATGAATTACCTTTTTTTCCTCACATTCTTTTAATAAGTAGTTGCCAGGAATACTTCAGAACTATTATTTTTTTCCATTTTATCCTGTAATTTGGGAATGGCAAGCAGGGTAGTTTGAACCTAGCTTGGAGGAGAGATACTGTCAGAAAAGACAAGGTGTCACTGTCCTCCATGAACCCATAGCTGCACTGGACCAACAGGCCCTGTATGAGTACCCAGCAAATCTCATTACCGCAACTTTTCATTTGCACTGCCCAAAGTGGGCTGCCATATGCTGCTCTTTGCTAGAGCTTTTAATGGCTTTCAGGGTAAAATTCCCATGCAGAGACAGGAAGAGCCTCTAACTCACTGTGTCCCTACCCTTAGGAGCTGCCCACAGCCAGAGCAGGCTTTCAGTGTCCAGAGAGAGCTGCTGTGGCTGACAACTAGAGCATTTTTTTCACTCATGAAAAAAGATCAGAAAGGAGAGCTGAACCTACAGTCTTTTTCCAGTAGGAGGTCTGTCAATGGATTCACCTGAAGAACTTGCAAATGTTAATCCAGGGCTGTGTGCCAGCCACTCTGTTACAGAACACTTTAAGTATACATGGAAGCTTTAAAAATTAATCCTACAGTATCTTCCTCAAGCCAAAGGTTGGCCAAAGTTTGCACAAAGCCGGGCACTTGCCAGAAACAAATGGTACAAATCTGCAGGGGCTAACACTGAGTTTACAAGAGATTTGTTGGCATCCTGTCTGGGGATGCACGGCCACCCCTGATGTCTGTGATTGTGGAAGTGGCTGCATTCACTTCCATCAATAGATAATGAATTTGTTGCATAAAGAACAGATCCCCAGCCTGAAGTAGGAAAGGAATGAAATAAATAAATAAACAGTAAAATACAAAAAATCTACAGCAAGAAATAGAAGAGAACAGACTATATTTTGGGAATTAATCACTCGCATTAGCCAGGTGTCTGCCAATCACTGATGATAGAAGCCTAGAAGACAGATCAATACAGATGACAGGTATAGCAAAATTACAAAGACCAAAAAAGAGACAGTCACAGAAAGAGACACGTAGGCAGAAAGTAAGAATTTGTCAACTGGATTGGCATGCTTAATTGTAAAGAACTCATTGAAGATGACTATCAAGGAACAAAATTGGTAAAAAGATTATTCAACAGACATTAATAAAAACATATCAGGGAAAGCCAAATATTTCTGAGGAATCGCTTGTGCTATACTTACGTTTATTTTGACTTCTACAATGGCTGCTAGTCCAAATGCCATCCCTGCAAGGATCATACCTGTTGCCATTTTCCTAATAGGTCTATGGAGCAAATGAAAGAGGTACCATTGAGAAAAGAAAGTAATTTAAAATATAGAATACAATTCCTCAGAGACTAAGAACGTGCCAAAACCACGTATTGAACTGTCCAACAGGTGGCACTGGGAATGATGTGCTGTTTAAATTGCCAATCATTTAACTTAAAACTATTCTATTTTTCTGCATGAGGCTAGCACTGAGGCCAATTAAAACTGGTATGCCATGAAAAAGTTCTATGCTTGCAAGTTTCATATTGTCTTATTCCTAGCTCATCTAGTGGGAATAGCTCATGGCATTATGTTAACCTGCGATGTTGGAATGAGCACTAGAAATGATACATCTTCAAGTCTCTCCTGGGAAAAGCAAAAGATAAGTAGTGTGCTACTTAGCAGCAGGAATAAAGAGAAGAATAAATGTGTAGTTTATGTCATCAGTGTTTCTGACCATCTGTGTCATCACTCTGGGTTATTTCTCCTGCCAATACATCTGCGATCCTAGAGAATAAGGAACATGCTTTGAAACTGGTGCAAAACAGAACAACTCTGCCAGAGCTATAGGAGACAATCTGATATAAAAAGGTATATGATAGGTCCAGAAAGGCAGGTCCAAACTGAGTGCTGAACTGTTGAGATTTTAAACAAATACAGATCTAGATTCAGTGATTTCCAGTCTTTGTAATGGTCTGAATCATAGTCCAGATGGACAGGGGTCTGGGAAATCCAGATTACGAACCTAAATTCTGTCTCTCAGTTATATGGTCTGTTATAAAAAGATTACTATTGTTTGCATATTGGGATAAATAATGTGATTTTGACATTGAATTGTGCATTGGGATTGTGTTGCATGAGTTTCTGCAGCCACTCAGGCTAAAACCTTGCAGACTACAGGATATCCACTGCCACATCCATGGCTGAACTGGAGAGGGGCCTGTCAGTATCTAGCATCCAGGGGGCAGAAACAGCATGACATTCCATTCCGTTCAGTGCCTGGGTCTGTGCTGCTGGATTAAATACTCTGTGAACCTGTCATCAGACAGGAAGCTTTCTGCCAAGTAAGGGCTTGTGAAGCCAGTCTCCCACTCATCTCCCCATTACACACTTTGGTGTTGGAACATGCAAACTTGGTTCACTTCAGCTGCAGCTGCACTGGCTGAGGCACTCCAGCAGTGCACATAACGTATTCCCACTGCTAGAGCACATCAACTCACAGACTATAGAGACTCAAAAGTCAAATCTCCCCCCAGAAGCATACACTGGTCCCCAGATACAACTGTTTTGATCTAGAGGTCTTCTCCTATAACACTGCACTTTCTTAGAGAAGACTTATGATAGAACACCTGGGCTACTGTGAAAACTCCCTTCTCCACTGGCCCCTATCTTGGTGGGAATCTGCCTTCACAAGACCACATGTAGCCTAGGCAGGAGAGCAAACTTGGTTGCTGCAGGTAGGGAATTACTTCGCAGCAATACAGGAGATAAGGAGAAGGACGTATTGATCAAATTTAAAGACTGTTCATACTGGCTTTCAGGGAAAACCTGATGACAGAGCAGAAACCAACATCAGAGAATTTTCCCCGCTGGAATTTCCTTGGCCTATGGAAAATGGCGACAGTGCCAGAGAGGCTGAAGTAGAGGCAAGTGCTGTAAAGCACAAGTATAGAAATTTGTGTTCCTTCTCCTTAAAAGCTATTCTTCTGCACACTTGCTGCAAAACAGTAAGAAATGAGGCATCCATGTTGTCCCAAGTACTTACGTGAAATTAAATTTGCACATGTTTATCAGAGGATAGAGCCCAAGGTCAAAAATCGGGATGAAGACAAGAATTAGAAGTGGATTTAAGAACTGCAATACAAAACAATGGGAGTTCAGTGACTAGAAAGCAACTTTTAGTAATTAAAGTCATAAAGCAATGCCCTCCAGAAATAATTCCATTACAGAAAGGACATGAACACTTAAAAACCTCCTTTTAAACTACAATCATAGTTTGCTCTTTGATGGTTTCTGCCATTTAGGTTTCACAGGCACAAATATGTTTTGTTCACACCCTCCTCTCCAAGAGGTAAGCAAGCATCATTGGTGCAATTTCCCTGAAGAGAGAATTGAAGCATTGTGTTTCCAGAGAGTACAAAACCCACTGAAATAGAGGCAGGCAACTTTAGGGGCTGTGTTTGGTGGCACCTTACAACAGATCAACAATAATGGAAACAGCTTGGGACTTGAGCAAAATCTCAGAGGAACAGGCACTATTTTGTGTCTGCCACTTTTTCATACTTCCACACAGCATGAGAACCCCCCTAGGAACTGCTTTTCTCCTGGGAGGGCAGAACTTGTCTGTCAGTTAGAAGTGGCACAGCAAGAAAACAGAGCAATGAGAGAACGAGCAGGGAGAGATGCTCCATTTCAGCTTTGAAGGAAGATTTTAGGGAAAGGAACAGCTTTGAATTTCTTCAGAGCTATTCAGCATAAGAACTGTAATCAACTGTGACAACACAGCATCATCTCAGAGCCTTCATATTTTCATTTGCCCTGCAGGAAGGGAGAAAGGAAACATATTTCAGGTAAAAGGCTGATCCCAGTGCAGAGATGTGTTAAAAAAAGACAATCTGTATCTCCCATATGCCAGCACTAGTTCAAGAAATATTAAGGCGTCATGTTCTCCCACACCTCTGCATTATGCCTGTGTTATGACATCCTAGAGGTCCTCTGAACATCAAGGTTAAGCTTGCTAAACAGCTAGTGTACAGTAAGTCAGAGTCAACACCACACTAGCCAGCAGGACCACCGCTATTACCTTTGAAACGAGCAGAGAAAGACCACTGGTCCCGTGACAAAAAAAAAAAAAGAAAAAAGAAAAAAAGAAAAAAAAGAATGAGAGAGAACAAGAAAATATATTTCTACAGGGTAATTTCCTACCCTGTAGTATTTTTACCTGCATTTGGTCAGGCTGAAGGACATATATTCCCTGAAACAAAAAGATATGGCAGGTGATTCGTAAGCATGATCATATAAGAGTGCACAGCATATATGTCTGGTGGCAAACAAGCAACCAGCTCACAGTATGGTTTTCATCAGCAAAGGTGGTTTCCTCAAATTCTTTATATTGGCTTTAGCAGCTGACATTGTGCTTTTGACACTTGTCATCTAAAGACAGAGAATTTGATGAGGATCATTTTGCAGAAGGAAGCTACGCTCAGGCCTTGATATATGGCATTTGGGACATGGCCAGGACAGGTACTGAGTCCCATCTTTCAGACTGGCTGAGCCCAGGACTAGGTGAGCGGAGAGGAATGGGAATGTCAGCTCTAAGCTGGGACCTGGATTTTGAGCTTACTCCCTCTGCTTCTCTAAAGGAAAAGCCCAAATCCTGTAAGTGAATGTCCTCATGCTTCAAGACCCCTGCGCTGTGATGGCATTTGTTGCAAACACCTCAAAAGGATTACAGAAGATTACCCTTGAGCCGGTAGGCTGTACCCCACCTACTACCCCCCATCTACTCCCTCCTTTTGACAAAGGCACCAAATGGGCTTTGGTCAGTTGTTCAACTGTTCTTGGTTTAAGCCAAGAGAACTTGAGGCTGTAACAGCTGCGGTATCCTTGCACCACTGTGTCTTGCCCCTGCAATTGGGAAGGCCATCAAGGATAGACAGAGGGATCTCAGTCTCCAAAAGTGACAGATGAGCTGTCTCCAGGCAGAGGCTGGCGTTTGTCTGAACTTCACACAGCTTTTCATTTGAAATTAAGATGAAGAGAAAGGGGGAAAACATTAGGAAGAAAATAATATCTTTCCGAGAAAGCACCGTGGGGATTTGCCTCCTGTCTGCCAGGTTCGTCCTGAGCTGAATATAGATTGCCTACCTGTTTCTGCTGGCAGCTGCCTCCTAGGAGAATGAAAAGCAGTGGACAAAGCAAAGGAGCTTTGCAATTAATAGCATCAGGCAAATACCTTCTTCTCTCACTACTTTGTGTACAAATATGCCACTAGAAAACAAGCCTGCAAGCATTTCATGTCGCTCTAAACCATTCCCTGTTAATTCAGTCTCCCTAGCTGAGCACTTTGGCTTGAGAAAGCAGAAACACGGAATTTTGCAAGCATGGTCTCCAGCAACCCTAATGAAGAAATCAACCCAGTGTTGCAGTTAATTCTCACCTTCATGAGCTGGGGCAACTCACTAAGGCTCAACAAGACTGAAAGAAGCCAAAAACCCATTCAAGCAGGTAGAACTAATATGTACTGGTTTCTTCTCCACCAGGGAGAGTTTAAAAAATGACTCCTGGTAATTCTTAGATGTTCTGCTAATGGATCACTAAGTGTGTGTGAGCACAACAGCAGAAAACAAAGTTTCTAGATACACGTCATAAAGACTTCATGAACTTTCACTGTTTGTCCTTCTGGAGTGGATAAAAATATTACAAGTGGTGTAGCCTTTTTCATGCCTCATTTGAATTAATTAAGCCTAATGAGTATCACATGCTGAGAGCAAAACTTTTTAAGAGGAAGAACTCAAATCTGGAGCCTTACATTGATTTTAAACTGTAAAATGGGCATTTACAATCTTAAATTCTGATATGAGTATCTGCAGGTAAGATCTAGATGGCCTATGAAATACACTTCTGGAAACACTTTAAGTGGTGACATCGTTAGCTAGACAGCTGATCTACAGTCATCTGTCACTGCCCTCTGCTCCATTTGCCACTCACACCTTTGAAGTACTTGATGGCTACTAATTCGTCCTCCCCACATTTCGACCCTAAGCACAGGATTCCTGCTGATTCTTAGAGGCTTCATCAATGCATCACTAAGTAAGCCAGAGCAGAAGTATACAATTACAACATCTCTCATTATACACCACAAGGGCTGTGTGAACTTTATCTGACTTTCCTGTCTTGAGTGGGGGTCACAGAGCAACCAGTTGCCAGTACATCAGCACTCCTGACATTACAGGCTGCCAGTGGCTCCCCAGCCCTTGCTCCTTGCCAAGATGTGCTATGATGAACTGCACACGGCCACATAGGGCCTCTCTCTTCTAATCACTGAAAGTGCAACTTATCCAGACTCATTAGGCAGAAGCCCTTACTAGCAAGAGAATTTGATTAAAAAGCAAGAGCAGTGATATTACTGCTAGTCTTATCCCCAGTGACATTAAATACTTACAAAGTCAGCGTTCATCTTTGTAGCTTGCAAAGTCCACCTGGATCCCTAAGGAGAAAGCAGACAGCAATGTAGTTTGCGTGATGTTCCATGGAACAGAGAACTTGGGGATAGAGAAGACCACAGTGCTGGAGGTCTTGCAAAACCATTGCAGTTTTGTGCCATTGCAGGACAACCAGCCCCTAGGCACCTGATAGGAAGGTAGTGCACTGTGTCTCCAGGATACTTTGGTGTCACGCTGGCAGCACAGGGGTGCAAATTCAGGCCTACAACATGCTGTACTGTACCTGCTGATCAAACAGGGCCCAGAACATTGGCAGTGGTAAGAAGAGAAAGAGAACACGTGTCACCATTTTAACCTCCGCAATCAGCTGTTTCTATAAAGGAAACAGACAGAAAATTAAGATGTGAGGACAAACCGACAGGGGCTTCAAGCTACAAACTACAAAGCAAAAGAGCTCCTATGTTTTTCTACACAACAGTTTTTCACTGCATTTATTCATGACCATAATTGCGTTTCTGCATTTCAGTGCAGCATCTCGACTGTCCATTAAGGGTCAGGAGAGTACAGACATGGGAAAGGACAAGGCAAGTGAGGAGATGCATATGAAGAGTGGGGTGGCCAGGCCAGTCCTAAGTCTGCATGACTCCCTTTTCCCTTCCAATCCTTCCTTGTAAAACATCACTTACCGAGTACTGTTCTGATGCCCAGTCAAGCCAGTGATCTCTCCTTGGAATCTGACGGGAGCGATTTTTCAGCCTGTTTTTAATAGCAAACTAAGGAGAAAAACAGGTGAATAACTCCCTCATGCCTACCCTCCTAATTTAAATTTTCCATTTCTGAGGTCTTATTCGTCTGCCCTTGTCACATTCCCAGCTTAAAACTGCCCTTTCCACCCCTGGAGGTACATATCATGGGGGTTCTGATGGACACTTCCAAAATTTGCATGTGCACAACCAGATGCTTTAGAACCAATTCTCTGCAGGAAAGTTTCTGTGACACTGATTGATTAAAGGTGTGATATGTGAATGAACTACCTCCAGAGCTTGTCCTCCACAAGCAAACCCACTGTTAGCCTCCAACGTCTGTTTTTCTTGATTTAAAACCTGATATGTGATAAAGCTTTGAACATCATTTTTTCTTCTTCTTTTCTGAAGGGCACTTGTTGGACTGACCACAGTGCTGGGGAGGAAACATTTCCTTATTCACACCAATATCAAAATCAGAACTATCATTCCTTTCTTGTTGTGTAGGTCTTTCTTTGCATATTTCTGGCGCAGCCCATGTCTCATTCAGTCCTAGAGCAGCTTTTAAATTGGTTTCTCACTGCAGGAGAAATTAGTGACACCAAATTTTTAACTTGTTTGTTCATGCTTCTTGCTCCAGCCACTGAACAGACCGGCAAAAACAGTGGCAGCCTCCCTTAGAAATCCTGTCCCTAAGATCTGGTCTGTTTCCCCAAGGTAAATCTGTTACTAGCATTAACCTAGAGAAAAAGAAAACATTTGCTGTTTGCAACAGGTCCTGAACAAGAAACATCAATATCCATCCAAAAACAAGACAGGATTTCTCATACACTGTAGCCAGCTCACACACTACGAAAAATAGTTGATAGGCTATACTGAAATTGTAGAGTAACTTAATGTGCATAACATGAACATGTAATATTACAGTCTGCTGAACTGATAAACTTCAGTAAAATTGTTCACCTGAAAGAAGTTACATTTCTCAATTTTTCTTTCAGCCCTTACCAGCAAACCCCACCCAGTGTTTTTACTGGCGTTAGCTGAAGATGTGGAGCTATGGAAATTATAATAATTGAAATGCTGAAGAATAAACTGAGACATAGATGTGTTCCTTATTCCTTACAGGTCAACAGCAAAATACCTAGCCAGGAGCAGCATTCAGAAGGATTCTAGATGTCACTTCCCCATTCCCTTTGCACTCTTCTGACCTGCAGCCTCAGAATTACGCATGAAGAAGAGAGAATGGCACACACTTACTCCAATGCATTTGCACACTTCAAGTAAGACGTTTCCTTGTGGTGGCGTTTTTCTGTACAGTCCGCTTCCAGCTATAAACACGACTGAAAAAGATTATACTCCAGATGAGAATTTACATGACTGAAACTTAAAACCGCTCTGTTTTCTGGGGAGGATCCCTCACCCTCATATTCAGCAGAAATCCTCTCCCTTTGAGGCTTACATGGCAGTACTTTCATCAAACCAAACAAACGTATAGGGCTCTGTTAATGACTTCAAACTGAAAAAGATCCTACAAGAGGCAATGTGATTCCTACAAAGCGACTTAAAAACCAATCCACTTTTAATTGCTGATGTTGATGATGATGATACCTGTGCATGAAACTAGCCCCAGATCATTGCAACCACCACGTGAGGATGAATCCAAATCCAACATGAGCTTTGTGTACTTGCACTTCATGCACATTTGAATGACGTTAAGAGAAATTACCTTCACTCGTGGTTTCCGTGAAGGGATGTGCAATTTAAGGTATTGCATTCTCCCTCAACACACAAAATAGATTAGCAAGGCTTCAAAATATTGTCAGAGTTGGAGCTATCCAATTGCAGATCATTTGTCCTGTTCCTTGAGAGCCTTTGATTACACTGCAATTCCAAAAGTGTTAGCAAGGAGAAGTACAATAAAAGCTGAGCATGAAATCCATGTAACAAACCAACCAGGGGAGAAAAGTACATATTTTTCTCACCTGGATGTTCACCATTTCATTTTTAGGACTATGAACATCCAGTTTTGACTTTCAGAACTGCCAGAGAGGTGTCTGAAGTCAGTTTAGGTGAATCCCAACCAAAGAGACTCGTCCAAAGTCATAGAGTGGGTAACAGTGCTACTTCATTTTTAGCATGTCTATGTGGAGTTATTGGTGCCTTCCTAAAGGTGATTCATTAAGTTTGCTGAAAATATCTCCTGGCAATTCCATTGACCCCACTGGGAACTGAGGTTCCTGCATTAAAATAAATGATGTCAGTCCTCTCCTGTATTTCAGACACTGAAGCAGCTCAGAAAATCTTGTTGTGTAAGATGCCCATTCTGCCTCTAAACTTTCTTTGCTAGCCAGCATCATGGGAAGGGGATTGGTCAGGGCTGGAAGAGTATGTTCTCCAGTTCTGCAAGCTGCTCACATAGTTAAACACATCACATCCAAGAAAACTCCAATATTTTACAAAAGTACACAGAACTGCTTTGCTGGGCAGGCTATGGAATCTGGCAGCAGGACACTAGCTAAAAACACATTACAACTGATGGCCTCACTGGAACTGTAATATTTACATGTCCATTTTTCCCTGGGCAACTACTACTATCTTGTTAGAAACATTCATCACACGGTGCTGCACAGAGGAGCTTATGCCGCACTAACCCACTAAGAATGGACCACGTGGGAAAACAGGAGCTACTCAGGCCTGTGACCACGCACTTTTTTTGAAACATAATTGCTGTAACATAGGTTGTGACCTGATAACATTTTCCCAACGCTCTGATCCTTCTCTAGGATGGAAGTTTGACAGGGAAAAACAACTTAAGCATTCTCAGGGGGATGAACTTTCCAAATCACAGATGCAGTTCATACAATTGCACAGTCTCTCAATTAAGCTAACATGTTGAATGAGAAGTCAACCCATGCTGTGTTAAAAGCTCTCAAATGCAGCATAATAAGGGGACTGCTCCCCTGCAGCAGTGAAACTAAAGCTAATGGGGTGTCCCTTATATTGGCTACTGATGAGTAACTGTAAGAATGCAGAAATTGCTGGGTATTTGATAGGGGTTGAAGAAGTCATCTTGACAGTACATTAACAGGCCTAAGACGCAGGCTTTAGGAAGCAGGATGATTGCAGCTCGCTCCTGATTCTAGGGCAATGAGGGCTTATTATTGCAACATAATAATAGGCTGCCACTATAATTGTGGGAATAACTTCAGCCAAGCAAAGTGAGAAATGAATAAAGTGGCATCTCATTCAGCTTCCCTTTCTGAGATTTCTGTGCGGTAAGCATTCTGAAGCAAAAGTGGATGGCCTCAAGCTACAAAAAAAACTGTGGAAAGGTTAGAAGTGGCATACTAAGCTTCTCTTCTGTAAGTTGGAGTACTTTGAGTACTACTATAGGTAGCGCTCAGATGGCAGCTCAGAGGCCTAACCTGCTCACAGACAGGGCTGAAGCACATCAAAATTACTTTAATGCCTTCATTTGTTATACAGAACAACCATCTTCTCACCAGTATCATGATTTAGGATTGCAGGATGACCACAGTCTGCCCATCTCTAAGTGATCCAAGTGTTTTTTCTTGCTGATCTGAACCATGGAACAGTTGGATGAGTTTGAACTCTCGAGCTTTCCATCATAGCATCCATCCAGTGCTGGTGAACTTGTGCATTTTCTCATCCACACGCAGACTTAAAAATGATAACTACTGCTAGAATCAGGGTGGTTTTCACTCACCAAGCGCCAGCACCATCAGTGCTGCTGGGACACCAAAAGCCAGTGCATAACAATCCTCTCCAAAACATTTCACATCCCCTAAAAAAGAATTCAGAAAGAAAAGCATCTCCTTATTATCAGCCTTACGTTACCTGGGTTTTTGATTTGCTTCTCTTAGATCAGCCACTTGGTTTGGCTCTAAATCTTCTTTGCTGTTGCTGCTTGACACTATGAATTGAATTTCCTTGAAACAGTTGTCCTCACTTGACGAGGACAATTTGGAAGCTGGGCTAGTGTCTGCCAGCAATAGAAGCTGATAATGGGATATTGATGAGAATAGTACAAGGGAGACAAATAGGTAGAAAGCAGTGATAAGAACTGTAATTTGGAAAGAAAAAAAAAACAACAACAAAACAAACATTTAAAACGACCTCAAATCATTATACGTTCACATAGATCTAAACAATCAGTACTGTGTTTCCACAGTATCTGTGCCAGCTGCATGAGTTATATTATGATTATATTTCATTGTGATCTACAGTGGACAAAGTGGCAGCAAATACCCCTACTCCTAAATAAGTGGCTGCACAGGATTAGACTTAACACACTAGTTGCACCCCCAATACCTTTTCTCTTCAACTTCCTAATTTCACCAGAGGTAGCCAGGTCTTGCCCATCAGGAACCCAGGTTTGTTAGAACATGGCTTTCACTGATCCAAGGTATGGTTCACTGAAACCCCATGCCTTTCAGCCTAGTTCACAGCACAGGAGTTCAGAAGGCCAGTTGCAAACTAGCAGTGAAGTCTGCATCTGCATGCCAGTGGCTACAAATTACTGCGCTCTTGCATAGAAAAAACAACAAATAAGTTTGGCTAAAATAAACAACAGAGTTAACAGGAAACCAGCTCACGAAGCCTTCTGTTGTCCCCATTTGCTGTCTCTGGGCAATCATGACCAATTGCATAACTGTGTGTGGTGCATAACATTTATTTGCTTATTTTCATAAATTAGCTGAAATCCAACAAAGCTGGCAGCAAGATATTATGGACACACTGAAATGTTAACATACAAAGTGAGCTGGACTCCTCCACCTGAAAACATCTATTCCATGTTTCTGCCAAATGTCTTTGGACTGTACTACTTCTTTTTTCCAAGGAAACCTTTCATACTTAACAGAAATTTTACTATCCCCATCCTCTCCACCTCATTTCCACGTTGCAACCAGTTCACTGTTATGTTGCCTTGGCACAGGTTCTTACATTCCAAGGGAATCAGATTTTCATCTGTGCAGTGATGGCACTGAGCAAAACCCCCTCCCAACATAAGGTTGACCTGGTTAAGGAGAGTATTCGCCTCAACACTTTGGTGATATAAGACAAGCACAACTGCCCACAGCTTTGTGAAATGAACAGCCTGATGAAATGAATACTGCAAATAAAGAAAGCTTCCTGAAGGCCACAGGACAGAATGAAAAAATTACCAGTGTGAATGTTACCTAGTCCTGCCCCCAATCCCTTTGCCTGTGGTCTGCTGCCTTCCCTCTGCGTCTGTGCCTGTATTTATAGCATGCCAGTCCCCTGGTTTCCAGGCGCTACGATACAACGAAAGAAGTGCAGCAGGGACAGAATGTAAAGTAGGTCCTAAGTGGGGCAGAGGCCTGTGCTTTGTTTTCAAGGGTAATTGCTCAGAGCTGCAATCTTCCAAGCAGACCCACGCAGACATGCTTGGGTGCCAGGACTGAGTCCTCCCACAGTCAGCAGTGGCAGGACAGTGTAGGATTCCACATCCATCCCTACTAAACCACTCAGTCCTGATGCCTGCCCAGGGCATCAGATATCAATTCCCATCCACAGGTTACTGCAAGCAAGGCAGGGATCAATACTTCACTAGACACAGAAAGAATTAGATGACAATTCAGATCTTTCCACCTCCCATATTTTAATTCTGCAGTTCGGGCTGGCGTTGAAATACAACTGGGAATACGGTTTTTGTGACTTGCCTGCTGCTAGCACCATAAATCTGTTACGCTGCAATGGCAGGATTAACAAGGCATAAATGCAATACACTGACCAATCCAGAGATAATATAATTTCTGCCATTCAGTTGTCATAAGAACCTAACAATGCACAGCGGAGTAGCCAGAGGGCAGCTAATTTATTGTTTTACTCTAAATCAACACTGACCTCTTAATACAGGCGTTACAAACGTGGAGATCAAACTTCCAGCATTAATGGATAAATAGAAGACGGAAAAAAACTTGCTTCTCTCAGAGGTCTAAAACAAGAGAAGACAGTATCAGTGTCACAGCTAACACAGAGCATCAGGCTTGCAAATTCAGTGCTATCAATTCTCTTGTTAGGAAGACTGGGTAAATGTTGACACGAAGTGCATAAAATGTTAGGCAAACAAACTTGACTTCAGGTGATGGTAAACGCTCACACAAATCATCTTACTTGAGATGCACTGTGGGGCTTTTTGGCACTTCAGAGGAAAAGCCACTGCTTTGAGACTGTTGTGAGATTGGAAGGGGGAGAGCATCTACTTATTCAGGTCCTTTGTCACCTAATTCAATACAGCTTGGCACAGCTCAACAAGATCATCATGTGTTCCCATGTCTGAGCTCTTTTCTCCCCTCCTCTCTTCCCATTAAAAAAAAAAAAAAAAAACACAGAAAAATAAACCTGCATATTTTGAGTTTATACAAGCAAAGATGAGAGAGTGGCAGCAAATGAAAAGAATCCATAAGACAGGAGATTATCAATCTGAGGTCTGTCAACATCAGACTAATAGGGGAAATTAAATCTATCGGGGCATATTCTAGAGCTCGGAATTCAATAGATGGTGCAACACACTGGAGTTCATACAGTTAAAGGATTCTTGCTGACCTTCCTTCCTCCTACATAATTTCCAGTTTGGAAGGAATCAAGAATTTGACGCATATTTTGGTGCTTTTCACGAAAGTAACACGTGAAGGCATTCAGTCAAATGCAGTCCCTCCTTGCGTGCACTGGACACACTCAGAGACACGCACTAACAGTGCTAAACTTCCTCCCTGTGCCTGGGCTGGCAGAGCAGAGAAAGAAGGCTACCTGGCCTACACCACATTCATCTGTACCACCAGCTGTGGGATATCTCAGTTGGTGAAGCTGGCATTTAAAGACAGTCCAAGCCTAGACAGCCAATGTATTTCATCAGTATCTAGGGCTTCACTCCCAGCTGTGACCAGGTTCTACAATGGCAGTGGACAAACTGGACACGGCTCAGTGCATGGCAGCAAACTCCCCAGGGCACCTTGAGCCACATCTCTATGACCTGAGCATGGTTTGAATGTGAAGCTTTAACTCATGTGTGAGGAAGCTCCCCACAGGTGTTGTGGTCGTGTTCCCTTCTGCTCCCTGAGACAACAATATTCACAAGGTTGAAAAACAGGATTAAAAAGTAAAGAACTGCAGATGAGGACAACTTTTAAGGAATCAAGCCTGAGATCTCAAGGTGTACTAAAACTTCCTTATTATACACATTTATAGATTCAAGTGGTGGAAAAAAAATGATCAGAGTAGCAGAAGTGAGTACAAAAATAATAGACAACAGCTTGCAATTTACACTGATTGGAAAAAAAAAATACTTCCCTCCTTCCTTTCCTAATCTTCGGAGCAGACGTACATTAATAACATGATTTGGATTAACTAATTAGAGAAAAGGTACTGTACATGATAATCCTGATCTCCTTGGCAACAGCAAAACAAAGAAACAAAGAGAAAGCTATTTAGTACCTTAAAAACCACACCGCACTGTTTGAAAGCAGCTTTGGTCCTTAATTAATATGCACAGCAGCCTGTGCATTCATGTAACATATTGTAGATATCATTTTATTCAGGCATTTTTAGTCTGGACTGCTAATCCCATAGACAAGGGTACTTGGAAACCTGCAGACAAATCTACTTTCTCTATCTGAGCTCCTGATGAATAAGTCTCCATCACTGTTTGTAGTACTACAGTTCTGAAAGTGGCAGAGCCTAGAATTTACAAAGTACTCTTAAGAAAACCAGGCCAACAGTATGCCTGTGCCTCAAAAGTTAGCTTTATCTCCACAAGGAAACCACAGGATCAATCTACTTATTTACTTTATATGCAGACTACCACATCCCTCATTTCCAGATGGAACAACTAAACCCATGCACTTAAAGGTCCAGCTGAAATTTATTGGTGTCTTGAAAATTGAGGGGGAAATCAAGTTTTTCATCTCATTTGGAATTTTTAAAACTTACTTCACTCTAGCTAGAGTGGAAGATGAAAAACACAGGGAGCCTTCCCAAACAACACTCCAGAGAGAAAAAAAAAAGTTCTGGTTGGCTCTAAATCTTTCATCCCTTACAAAATCAAAACTTCCCATACTGGTTTTGAAGACTTATATTTCCTATCACATACATAAAACCTTTCTTTTTCTTCTTTTGAAGGGAAAAGTCATTTCAAAATGGTAAAATACAAACTTTCTATTCTGAAAAGAATGAATAGAACAGAACGTATTGTCCTTATCAGAAGGCTTTTTACGGTTTCTTTTTCTAAATTAGTTTCCCTTGAAGGCAACACAAGGGAATGCCTGAGCCTTAGCATTTGATAAATTTGTTGGAGAGGTGCAGTCTGACTGCTGGAGAATAGGCACAGGCCCACACCAACAATGAGCAGTTCGGGTTTTTCTCTGTAACCAAGCTGTAATGGTAAGCTCGGGATAATAATAATAATAATATGTGCCTGACTGGGATGCTGAGATTCATTAGCTGAAGTCTATAAAACACTCTGAAGATAAGTGGTACATATTATCATCCTGTAATTAGGTGGTAATTGAAAGATGCTGGATAAATATTATTAATTATTAATATTCATAGAAGTAGCACTTCTGAAAACGCTGCTGTAGCACCTGTTACAATCCTTGTGGGGGAACCATTTGCACTGCAACCTGAGATGCCCACATGCTGGTACACACACACTGCATCCCCAGAGCAGTGTGCTGCACTGCCAGCCAGAGTTGTGGTGACCGCCTCTGATCGCTGCTTCCCCTTCTGCAGCATCCTCTAAAGCACCAGGTCTGACAGGCAGCACAGCACAGGATGCACACACCTCCAGAAGGATCTCGTGCTTCACCAAGGCCAAGTGGCCATCCCTTATCCAGCTCCATCAATGGCTATTCTGATAGGTCTCTACTGGAATGTCCTTATTCAACACCTATTGATGGGGATTTCCATCTTCTAAAGGTCCCAATCTTTCTCAGTAGGTACATTTCTGGATATTTTTTTCTAACATGCAATACTAAATAATTCTTAGTGGATTTAGCCTGCTCATCACAAATCCACTTATTTTCTTCCTCATAGCAGTGGCCTTCTATGACTTCTGATATGCACAGTAATAGCTGAAAGTAGAACATTCTGACCTATTTCACTTCTTCAGGTGCTACCTTATTCTTGATTTAGCCACTGGTTTACATAATGGGAATTTGAGATTGATTCATTACATGACATAAAGGCCAGTGCTAAGTCCTTGTGATGGAGAACAAGGACATGAAGAAACTGCATTACAATTCACAGGATGCAATATTAAAAAGAAACATTTTCCCAACTCTTCAGAACTTTCTATTCTGGCATATCTAGAAAACATTCTGACCACATTGGGCAGAATAGAAGTACCTTCAAAAGGCAAGAATTTTCTACAGTTCTTTTCTCAACAACAATCTAGTTTCTGTTTTGAGGGAAAGTCTCTAAGCAGAGAGGCTTGCAATACAGTTTTCCTTTTTGTTTGCTGTACTGTGTTGCAGTGTGTTATAATCACACTTCTTAAGCTGATTCAGAAAAGGCAGTCTTTCTATGCTATACTATACAGGACCTTCCAACTCCTCCAGCTCAATTAATATTTGGATTATTTGATGCAATTATAACCTGATATCAATAGTGTTCTGTTGTTATTTCCCTTTCCTGAAGCATCTTGATTCTTTCAGGTCTCATGCAAACCATCCTACCTCACATCTTTTCCTAGCAAGTCATTCCTATGTGATTTCCCAGCAAACAGGCTCTAGTACAACAGAATCTAAAAACACCCTCATAAAATACCCAGAACTGCAGAGTTTAGAAAAGAAAATAAATCTTACATGTTCCTCTTCAAACTGGTCCCCACCAAATGCAGAGACACAGGGCTTGATACCTCCCGTTCCAAGGGCGATCAAAAACAGACCAACCATAGACAGGACCCTTCATGCAAGAACAAAAATAACACCATTGCAGAACCCTTCCACTGCTTAGGGGAACATTTTATTGTCACCCAACCATAATTCCTCTAGTATCACTGTCTCTTGCACATTGGCAGTGATGATGAGCCAGCTAACTGCAAACATTTACTTATTTATTTATCCTCATTTCTGCATTCAGCATAAGTCAATTAAAAAAAGTGTTTGTCAGTTTCTTGCTGTTTGGAGGCCCACTAAGTGTACCAGACATCAAAGATCCAAGGGACTATTTTCCATTCATCTGAGAACAAAAGGCTGCAGAAATCAATTGCGAAATGGAAAATTAAAACAAAAAAAAAAAATCCTTTGCATGTAAGACTTCTGGTCTAGGTAAGTGAAGAAATTCTGTTTGAATTAGGCTCTTGGGTGCTTTCCACTTCCCAGCACTCCTCAAAATCCCACTGTTGATCCAAAAGATTATTGATTATTTCTGGGTGGAACAGGAGTGTCAAGACAGGTCAAATCGAGGACAAAAGAAAGCTGCTGTATAAACCAGATGTACTCCTGCCTGCATGCATATACTTTTAGTGCCAGGATCACCTCAGTAAAAACAGCATGGTTGTTTCAGAGATACCAGCTGGAAAACTACTCTGACATTCCTATCAGTTCAAAATCTAGAGGGCAAGAACGGTATTACCCTGCCAGTAACACATCATTCCTCTGTCACACATCAGAAAAATATGTATTTGGGATTTAGTGTTCCCATATACATGAGGGGACCTTGCTGAGCTGTATGGCTACGGCAATGAGAAAATGAGAGAGAAATGAGCTGGTGCGAGCAATCAGATGGAAGAGACCAAACTCCAGTAGCATAATGTAGCAGAGAAGCATGATCAGAAGTCTCTGTGTCAAAAGGCTCAGTCCTGGTGATGGTTCCGAGCTTTTCCTGGTGAACTCACACTCTAGACTTCCCCTCCAAACTGCTGGCCTGATAGGGGTGAAACAAGTGACAGTCCTGGGTAAACCACCTACCACTGCAACCTACAAAAATATTCAGCTTCAGCAGCTACTTACACATGAACTGCCTGGTTGCCTAGGGATGGAATGGCACCGACTGACTTTATCAGATGGCCGACCACATACACAATGGAGAGGTAGATGATTGTCCTGTGAGCAAAGCAAACAGCAGTGACTGAAGGTGCTGAGTGATGCACTATCTGAAAACAGAGTGCGTCTGTGTTTCCTGATATGAAAGGTCTATTTGGCAGATGCACAAGGAATAGTTTTGTCCATATCCCCAGTACTGCAGACAGCTATAACTTTTACGTCAACATTTAGCACACTGGAAAAAGGAGATAGGCAAATGGATTGAGATTAGGGAAGCATAGACACTACTTTCTTTGGGGAGATTGCTGGGCAGAATAAGCTAAATGTTCCACACTGCAAATAGAAGAGTGCTCTTCAGGTCCAACTCAGTTTCCAGACTACTAATAACTGGCAGTTTGTAGCACGCACTTAACTGTGCTGGAAGGAATCTGTAGGGACTGCTGCTCGCTTTCAACCCACCTGATTACTACATCCAAATTAGGAGTGTGGTTTTCCTGTTACAAGACTGAATTGAATCTCAAGCACCTCTGGAGGACTGAGCTCATCTATCTGCTTCCCACATCTTGGCGAGTGTGAGCAGGAAATCTGACCAGGAGGGTCAGGCTTTTAAGTGCATTATATTGCTTCATCATCTTAAAGATTAAGATACATTTATGTATTTATGTGCAGACAAAACACTCACAGTAAAAATGGAAGAACTTGTTAGGAAAGAGATACTAGAAGAAGCCCTGTGATCTCCTCTAATCTGTTATCCTGTCCTTACTATTGGTTTAGCTATGGCAGCAAAAGCCACCATTTATAAAGACTAGGGGATTATTCCAAGAAAAATCTCTTGCCTAATGCACAAAAGTTTGCATAATGGTTTATTTTTTCACAACATCGCACTGCAAGATAGATATCCTCAAATAGCATTGAGTATTCTCAGGCAACTTCAAATAATGAAGTTAAAAAACAAACCAACTTTGTGTGCGTAGGTTTTTTCATTCAATAGGACAAGAAAATGACTAAGTTAAAGCACAAATTAAAAAAGGAATATTGATATCTCTTTAAGAGCTTTCTGCTACAAAGGCATATTGCAGCAGTTTTTTTCCATGTAGAGACTCACACTGCCAGATGTGCTTAGACCTATAGGGAAGGGTTCAGCTGCACTTCATCACTAACAGCAAGACACCTCAGGCAGTTAGCAGAAAGTGCCAAGGAAAGAATGTCCTGTGTACAGCTGCTCACCACCACTCTGGGACAGATGGTGGCCCTGCCCTGCAAATTATCAGCCTAAGGGATGACTCCCTCATTTTCTCAGGGAGATGTTAGCTGGTTTTATACTAAGGGAGATGATCTGACTGAACCCAGGTTACTCTGGGATAAAAATAGGTGTGTTCATGCATTCCCTATGCTGAGAAAGCATGTGAAGGTACAGTTAGTGACATTTCACCTGAAATTACTATATTCAGAGGATGATACTGCTTCCTTACCATCTTTGAATCCATCTCAGTGACCGAACTTGGCAAGCTGAGGGTTAACCACCCTATATCTTAGTTTTCTCAAGGTGCATGTGGAAGGAGGGTAGAGGAGCATTGTGCTCTGTGATTTAATTTATTGATTTGGATTGCATTGCCTATTGGCCATTGTGTGAAAGAGGAGCACATAACAGCATGAGTGAACACATTAGTTGTTCATCCATTTACAGAGAAAAGCCTGACCTTCACAAGTGTTTCTTTGCTGCATCCTGAGCTAGCTCAAAATCAGGAGCACAGGCAGCACTGAACCTCGTGCAGGCTGTGCAGTGTGGACAGATCCTGTCTGAATTAGAGAAGCATCTACTTACTTGTATTTCCCCAACCACGAGTCTGCCATGATAGCTCCAATGACAGGTGTGAAATAACAGAGAGCAGAAAAGGCATGGTACACAGCAGTGGACAGATTCTCATCCCAGTGGAAGAAGCTTATGAAATACAGCGTCAGGACAGCTAAAAGGAAGCAAGCAAAACACATCAGATAATTGACGCGCTTCTCTGTGTGTAAACAGGAAGCTATATCACAGTGACAAGGAAAACAGGGATTTGCATACCAACTATGAGCGCTGCTGTGGAAAAATCTGTGCTTACAGATCTATTCCTCATAATCCCTGACACAGGAAAAGCTCAAATGAGGTATGTGAGTATCAGGCTTCCCTTGTTCATAAACATTTATGTTTAGCTGGAAAATATATTTCCTAGTTTATCACACCTGAGCCTGTAGTTCTGTTTATGCATAATTTCTATTTGCAGATTAGGTGCCTGTATGATTCAATTCTCAGACACAGAGAATGCACACAACTGAAAGATATCACACACTGGAAAACGAGGTTTGAGACTGAGAATGATACAAAAATTTAGATTGGAAGCGACGTTGGAGGTCTCTAGTCCCGATTCCTGTTTAAAACAGGTCTAGCTTCAGCATCAGAGTGTGTTGTTCATGCCTAATATCCCAAAATACCAATTTACTTTTGAAAGACAATTGAGACCACATACAGCAGAACTCTGGAACACCAGGCCATCATGTACAGAAACACAAGGATGGGAAATTCTCTTCCCATGGGCCACGTACCTCTCATGCCATAATAGGAGAAGCGCTCGCAGAACTCGTTCACCACAATGAAGGCAATGCTCAGGGGATAGTTGGAACCACAGAGTTTCTAAAGGAAACAGAGCAGAACATATCAACTTAGTGACAGCTTTCACCCCTGCAACACATCCACACAGCACCTGGACAGCAGAGAGGAATCCAGTCTGAAACCCAGGTGTTCATAACTGCCTGGCTAGCCTGCAGGTTGAACTCAAGAAAGTGAGGAAACCTCACACCAATCCTTATTTTGGTTAGGGTTCCCTATGAATACACGTGGCAGACCCAGTAAGGAACAGTACAGGGACTCCAGCACTGCCAGCAGCCAACACCCGCCCTGCCCACAGCTCTAGAAACTCCTTTGGAAAGATCCTACTGCCTCTCTGCTGCAACAGAGATGCAGTAGATAACATCCCGCTGAGATGCAAAAAACACCTTCAGATGCATTTTTATCTACACTTCACACAGAGCTACTGCTCTCCCCTGAAACTGCTGCCTTCCCCAACACCTAGAACATTGCTCCTTCCTCAGTGTCAATTGCCCTCAATCTCTGCACCTCAGTTACACCATCTTCACCACTGCATTCACTGCAGCAGAGCATCAGCCACAGCAGCTATTTTATATTCCAAGAATGCTGGCAGAGCTATGGATAATTCAATTTATTAAACAAAAATCAAACAAAAGAGCTATGCGCTTCTCAAACCTATCTGAGCCTGGCTACTTTTTTTATTGACATCAACTTCACTCCAGCTACAATCTGCAGTTTCCAAGTGAAGTACAAGGAATCTGAACAGCCAGGTCTTACATGACCTTGTGCAAGCCCCCGTCCCTCTGCTGCCCACAGCGGTCCCAGCTAAACAGCTGGGAGATCCTGGAAGCTGCTTATCTCCACTGCCTCCCACGAGGGACAGCAAGATTTCACAGCTCTGCCAATTAGTGGGAAAGACCGGCTGGGCATACATGGGGTGAGGGATGGGGGTGTAAGACTGTCATCTGCATTCACGTCTGAGGTTTTAAACAGCCATGGCATGGACCAGTGGAGTGAGATGAACTCTTCGTATGCATTTCTGTACCTCGTGTCAGAAATAATGAATTCCTGTATTACTTCTCAGAGTCTCAAATGCAAATACAGATAAGAAGATAGATGTGTTTATTGAGGTTTATTCCACCACGAGACTTAAGTTTATTCAGATTCCCAAAGCAATGCCTCCTAGGTTAGATGACTAGCTAATCATGCTGTCTTGCTCAAGATTGTACAAGGACCACAGAAGAGAATAAACTGTTAGCTAAATAAAATAAAAACAAAAACAATAACAACACCGTGACTAAACCCATTTCCACTACCTAACCCAGCATCTGTGATATTTTTGTGATTTTTGAAATATTTTCCTCTCACTATTTATGGAATGCCTTATTATTAAGAAACCCTTGGATCCTTGGGCTTACTAGGATAAATATGTAATCACCCATTACATTTACAGTTTGTGCTGAAGCTGTTGTGCTCAGCAGATGGCTACCAAGACTGAGTGGGCTCCCTTGGAAATTGCACTGAGAGCTCCCGCTTTTAGACCAGCCTGAAAAATGGCAGCATATATAAGCTGCAAATGCACAAATGCAGAATACTCTCCTCTAACAAGTTCTTAATAACATAGAGGAAAAGCGATAAGGAGGAAATAATGCTTCCTCTGGTTACTTTGTGGCATTTTTTGAACTGGGAAATAAAATGACACAACAGGGATATTTTTCTTTCACTCTTTCCCAGACCTCACTATCAATACTTTGATATTTAATAGCAGTTGATGCAGATACAGAGTGGGACTCCACAAAGCCAAGGCAGCCAGTGTTGAGAACACTGCTGCCTGAACTCACCGCACAGTGCACAAGCCCTGCAGGATCTATCTGCATCAGTGGGAGGTACCACATGCCACGCTATGACCTGGAGTGACAGAAACTCGGGCAGCAACCCATTCTCAGCTATTCCTGCTCTGGGTTGGGCACCTCCAACAGATGAGTGGACATAAGCAGAAAAAAGAGAGCAGGAGGAGGGACTCGACAGCTAAACCTGCCCCAGTGCCTGAGCCAGCACCTTAAGTAACTGCTTACAAAAGCTGAGCAAGGGACTAACAAGCAAGGACAATTTCATCTGGCCTGCACGCCGTGAGACGGCATCAGCGCACACAGAAACACTCAGGTGCTCCCTCTGCTTTATCACTGACCTGCATGGGGCCTGCCTGGACATTCAAAAGTGGGCAGCCTTCATTCATGGGAAGAGCCAGTTGCAGTATGCTCACTTTTGCAGAGGAGGACCTTGCTCAGCAGAAAGCCCCAGCTAAAGCAAAGAGGCTAAGCCTGGATTCACGAGCACACAGCTACACTGCTGTGCTTAGCTAACCACTGTAAGCCTGGGATGTGCAGGATTATGGAGCTCTTAGAAATACTGTGGAAGTTGACAGCCTGTCTTCAAGAAGAAAAAAAGAAAAAAAAGAGGTCATTTAAAGTGCCAGTGGCAGAGATGTTTGCTTGCACTTCTCCCTCTTGCTGATTAGCTGCAAAATAGGACTAAGATTTCAGAGGAGCTCTGAATACCCAATAGTTAATGCCTGCACAGTACTTAAAACAGTGAGCTTAATATCTGGCTTGCTAATGACATCACCGGCTGCAAGAGCAGTTATTACCATACTGTCCTGCGAATCAAAGCAGGTGCAAAACAAGCTTCTTTCTCACCAAAACCAATGTAGTGTACAGTATCTTAGTGTCAAGCCCTCAGCTGAAACAAGCCTGAAAACCTACACAAACATGAGCGCTGCAAGGTACAAAAACATTGAATCTGGCTTAACTCACAGCCACTGATGTAAAGCTGAGGCTCTGGCACGCGTGTCAGTGGCCTGTCCAAAGTCCCATCCCTCCTTCTGCTTAGCAGCACCTGGAGACCTGTCTCCATGGTCCCATCAAAGGAAGCAAATGCACAACCCAGCTCCCTCCTACCCAAGCATGACAGCCCCTTGCACTTCACAGAAGGAAGTCCTTTCTCAGAAGGAAAGGAGCATTCAAGAAAAAGGCAGCAATGAAAACCCTTACTCTTTTATTTTTCTCCAAGGATGCAAACAGTTCATTTTTTCACTTTAAGCTGCCCTTTCTTAACTTAATCAGGTTAGCGCAGGGATTTTTGCATGGAGTTGTTAAAGCTTATTTCAACCCTCTGCAAGAAAGGGTGTTTGTCTCTAGCCATAGCACAAAAGAGGAAAGAACAGAGAGATCTTGCAATGTTTAGAGCAAGCTGAGCAGAAAGGAAAGAAAACAAAATCAGCTGTAACACTCACCGGAGACTTTTTCTGAACAGGGAAATCTTTGGGGGGATCATCTCCTGCAGAAATAAAAGTGAACAAACTTTCCTTGGATTCGTTTCTCTGAAAAGTGTTCATCTCCCCTCTCGCCCCGTCTCCCACCATGCTCTGTGGCCGTGGTGAGTTGACTGGGAAGATTTCCAACCTCAGGCATGAAGTTTGATTCAGTTTGAGTTAACCCTAATTGAGCACATTTCTGCAGCCAAGGCAGAAAGGGGAGGGAGGTGCCATGAAGAAGGACAACAGCAGAACTCAGCAAGAGCTGGGGAGTGCAGCCTAAGCCTTCTGCAGGTTGGGGCTGTGAGCACTTTGTGGCACGGACCTCCTGTTTGCTTGGCATGCTCCCAGCTATCGCACATGCATCAGCCTAGCACAGCCCTGTATGCTGCACAGATGTGAGCTGAATAAAAATCCAGGGACCCAGAAACCTCTAGAACCTGCTGATTTAGGACCAAAGCATCATAGCATCAGTCCTTCCTCCACTGTGCTAATGTCAGGTTTATTCTGCAGGGGTCCCAGTCCACTGAAAAACCACGTATTACCCCAAGTCATAATCACTGAAACTCATCACACGAAACCCTTAGACACTGGATGTCATGGTATTAAGTAATTTCTTTGCTGTCCAAGGACCAGAGTACATTTCCATACCAATTCCCTGGAACATCCTTGACTTTCCCTATGGGGCAACTTAATTCTGAGGGCACAGACAGCACCCAGAAGCCTCAAATCCCCTGTAATGTCTCCTTATATCCAAAAGGCCACCTCTGGGATGCCTATGATGCAAACAATTTCTATGCTAGATACGGAGCCTCTGGTTCCCAGTAGGCACCCTGGTGTCCCTCCTTCTGCCCTTCCCATGGGAATCCAGGGAGCTCCTTATCAGTATTCCCTGGTGATGGTTGCAATTAGAGCAAAATTCACAGCCTTCCCATTAACCATCCTCAGTGGCTGCAGCTCTGTGGTATTTTGCGTGCAGTTCAAGGTTTTTTCTTCCCCTTCCATTTGGCTTCTTTAAAAGGCAAATGTTCAAAGAATTTTCCCCAATATTCGTTCAATTTTTTTGCGAGAAAAATCACAGATCATACCTAGGATCTGCAGTTGGTACAAGAGTCTCATAAACTGATCCCTAGCTCCAGCACCAAGTTGCTGCTAGTGATTGTTACAAAGGAGCCAGATTTGCAGTTGACAAAGTAGGAAAGAGGCATCTGCTCACACCACAGATCCTTAGTTTGCCTTCAGTTCTTGCTAACAAGACATGGAGAACATCTTTGTTAGGCCTGTTTCACAGGCAAGAATGACTTTAAAGTATATTCAAGGCTAAGAGTAACACAAAAAACAGACAGTGTGCAAGTTGGTCCTGCCTCCTGCACACCAAGCCAGCACATACTCGAGTCCTGTGAATCTGTTGCCACATTGAAAGCAGCAGAAATATTTCCAAGCCAGATGTCAGTCTCTCTTACTTGCCAAAACAACTGCAGCCAAGCCCCAGTAGGAGCCTGCTGTGTGAGCAGGGCAAACACAGCAAATTTTATTAAGGATTACACAAAAGCAAGACAGGAGAGGTTTCAGCATCCCTTGGGTGCAGGGCTCCCATGCTGATGCAACGAGATGCTTTAATATTACCTGTAGCATCTGCTGCTATGCTTCCCTTGTGTGTACATAGCCCTGTGCTTTGCACCGGAGAAATGATTTTTCTAATACTAGAATGAAAAAAATGTATCAGTCAGTGGAATTAACACGCTGCTTGTCAAATACAGCACAGAGATGTTTAGGCCATTATCTTTTGGAAGGTTTTCCCAGACAGAAAGGGAATAAAAAAAGAATAAAAGCATCCGGTAATAAATGGTAAGTCACAGCAAACAGTGAGAATGAGTTAAGGAGAATATATCTGCAAGCAACTCAGATACAAGTTAAATAAAACTTGATAGGAGACCTGTGTGGCTGGGATGAGAATTGGGAAGGAATTGTACCACAAATGGAAATAAGGTGACACTTCTGAAGATGAGTATAAACAAACAGATCAAGTATGGAGCAATAGAGGCTGAAAAGCTACAGCACAAAATGAATTATAGCTAGCAGGGGACACAAAAGGCAATAAGAAAAGGTGTTAGAAAAGCTGTAAATATTGGAGAAAGAGGAAGGAAAATGAAAGTCTTATTGAAACTAGAAAACGAGCAAACAAAGGCTGATCGAGAGAAGCCAGAGTAGTTGTGTTCTTTTTGTATGTCCTCACTAAAAGAAAAAAAAAGCCACAATATACAATATTTGGATCCTTCAGTTTTGCTCAAATCATTACAGACTGATCAAGTTCTCTTTCAAGCAGTGGATGCGATTTTTGAACCAACTTCCTTGTAAGGAACAGAGGTAGGACAAGCTTCACCACTGTCTTCAAAAAGGCAGGTGAGGCTTCATATAAAATATCCATCCAGTGGACAACAGGGAAATTCCTCTCAGGGTAGCTCACAATGCTTCTCCAACAAACCAGGAAGGTAGGAAACATGCAGGTTCCCAACTTCTCCACAAACAAAGAGAACATCGGCACAGCCAGCAGGCTGCTTGCATTTATGCCCAGAACTGGGATGGAGAATAGGGCATGAATTCAAAATTTCTATGTGGGAGAAACCATCTTGTGGCTCTGGAATTATTAAGATGAAATTCAGGAAAGACTGCCAAATGCTACCCCAAGGGAAAAAGGCACAGAGATCAACTATTCTCCACTTTCATCATCAGTAAGATGAGAAAAATAACTGACTTCAGTAGAGAAGATCTGGGGCCTCTTTTGGCCAAATTTCCCTTCTGCAAGGATGTGGGAGCACTGGCAGAAAAGTGGTGCAGCTGAGGCTGCAGAGTTCAGGCAATCCTTGATGTCTGATATTTAAGAACATATTAGGGACTCGCTCAATATGTCAGGTCCTGTCCCAAAGCAGGCAGACAGATCTGATAGACTCTGAAGTTTGCTCTTCTGAATTTCCATGAAAAGCCTCTTTTAAACAACTTCAGCTGGTAAGCATGAAAGCAAGTACTGCCTTCTGTAAGATTTTCTTTTTTTCTCCGTTGTCATTCTTGCAAGTGGACAACCTGTAAGATGACCCATGCTTAAATGTAATGCTCAGCTATCAGATGCCTTGCATAGCTGTAAGTTTCCATGAATACATTATTTTACAACTTTCAGTTCATCATTTAAATTTTTCAGATCCCTAAATCCACAGGAGGACAATCTGCATTTTTCTTTTGCATTTTCAATTCTTAGATTCTCACTGCTTTATGCTGCAGTGCTGTACACATTAATCTGTTCATACTCAACTGATCCATTCATTTATACCTGCATTCATCTTGCTGTTCAATTCCTTGATTTTCAGCTCAGCCACACTGGTCTCTTTCTAACAAGTCTTATTTTGAATTCACACACACTGGTCATACTTTTATAGTATTCTCACCATATCTGTGTTTCTCTCCTCTTTCTTTTCCTAAGAAAAAGTTACGAGCATGCCAGGAACACTTCAAGCCCTGGTCTATCTTCAGATGGACAAGATAACCTCTCCAGACCACTTCTGGCTTCCTTTCTCCAATTCTTCCATTATAGAAAAGATCATAGCTTAACTTTTTTTAGATAGACCAAGACTGGCTCCCAATCACCCCAGACTCATCCTAAAGTATTTAAAAAAAAAAACAAAAAAAAAAAAAACAAAAAAAAACACAAATGTATCAGTCAATCAACGAAAAAAAAGATGCCAGAGGTCTTTAGTCCTGCCTCCTTGTTCTACTAGCCTGTTCACTAGCCCTTATAGACTCAAACCTATAAAGGTATGTCAACCAACAACACTATCAAATACCTAGCTTGTCTTTAAGTGCCTTTTATCTGGTCACTAGTCAGCCTAAACACGTCAGAGAAACTTCTCATCCTTCCTGGTGTCTTTTAGCCTTCAGTTTAGCAAAAGGAATTTTAAGAAATTCTCTCACCAGCTTGGGCTTCCTTCACAGTTTGCAGCTCACTGTCTTCTGCCATTTCTTCTGCTTTGGGTGCACCAGATGAAGGCAGCTATGCCGTGCTTGAAGATGAACCTTGTCGAGCAGTCCTGGCTCTCTCTCACCCTGTTAATGCTTCACTTCACAGCAGCAGTCCTTTGGTCACCAATAAAATAGTTAAACTTTCATTTATTTTCAATCCCGAAGCCAAACAGAAGTCATTTCTGCTCATTCCAAAACATCACAAGGAATCCACCTTTGTACTTGAGTACAGCCTCTTACTGAGGCTGCATGGCATCCTTTGTGGATGTTCACAAGAAATCACATTGTGCTGCAGCTACATATCTTTCAATAACAGAAATTCTACTAGACAAAAACAGGGACTGGGCCTGTGATGAGACAGGACCTATAGCTGGCAATAAAACCAGACAGATTTGTGAGTCTGTACACCAGCTACAGAACTGGCCTGAACTCTGCACATCTGTTAGCAGTTAACACTGTGAGAAGACACGAGGTTTCATGAGATACTGGCTTCAGTTACTGGTTCCTCACGTGTCATATGGGAATGGGGAATGCAGACATAACATGGATGTGCTGCTCTCCCAACTTCACCTTAGAGCCATGAGACGACTGGAGGACCCAGGTTCTTTTCTGGCTTGTGTCTGTTGTTTACCCCTTTCTACGTTCCCCCTATAATGTCCCCTGAACTGCTGTGACGTCCTTTCAGAAAGGCTCTAAGGCATTTTCCTATCAGGAAAAGCCTTGGATGTATTCTGCAGGTAAATGTCACTGTGAGCCACTGCTCTAACCTTTCCAATCTTGCAATTCTGTAACTTTACAGCTACCAAAGAGCAGGCTTTTCACACAAGATACATAAAAGTACATGTAGATGGTAAGAAGGATTTAAATCCAGAGTGTGAGATGCGTGGCCAAAATCTAGGGAGCATTAGTCAAATGATGAGTAGATGTACACAGTACAGCAAAGACAGCAGCATTAAACTCTGGGCAAGCACTGAGAAAAACAGGCAGAAAGGAGGAATGAGCACTATAGGCCACACAATGAAATAGAGATGAAAAGACAGAAAGAGAACAGTAAAAATCTTGGAAATGCTTGTGGCTTCTGTTACAAGATTGGTGGG